TTTGTTTGTTTGTTTGAGACAGAGTCTTGCTCTGTCACCCAGGCTGGAGTGAAGTGGCATGATCTTGGCTCATTGCAACCTCCACCTCCCGGGTTAAAGCAATTCTCCTGCCTCAGCCTCCCAAGTAGCAGGGATTGCAGGCACCCACCACCACACCCAGCTAATTTTTGTATTTTTTTTAGTAGAGATGGGATTTCGCCATGTTGGCCAGGCTGGTCTCTAACTCCTGACCTCAGGTGATCTGTGATCTGCCCACCTTGGCTTCCCAAAGTGCTGGGATTACAGGCATGAGCCACCGTGCCTGGCCATTTTGTGGATTTTTAAATTTTTTTTTGAATTTTTATTTTTAGAGCAGAGTGCTGACTCTACTGCCCACTGGCCGTATGAGCCTCAGTTCCCTCATCTGTAGATAGGAGATGATAGGACCCACTTCACATTGCTGTCGTGAGGTCTTCCAGGATCGTACACACGGAGCACAATGCTTCTGCACATAATCAGAAGCCTCTAAATGCTGTGATTATTATTTTGTCTGCAAAAAGTTCTGCAGCTGAAGAAAACCGAGAGGTCTGAGACCGCTGGTCTAATGGGTGTTATTGCGTATGACCTGTGATCAGAATAATGTGTTCGTGTATCTATCCTGCCTGCTAACCAGGGCGTTCATCCAAAATTCCTGTTTGCATCTCACACCGAACAAGCCCAGGGGTCCCAGGCCCAGGGTAGCGGCTCCTTAATCCTCACCGTGAACCAAGCCAAGGACCTTACCCGGCTAGGATGGCGCCAACAGCAGTGATAAACCACTCCGCAGAGTTAAACCCCAGGATGCCAACTCCGTGGAAACGCTCCAAGCCCAGCTGGGAAGGAAAAAACCAGAAAAACAAAGCGTGAACACGGAGATGTTACATCATTAGGATATGTGACGTCAGAGTCAAATGTAGTCACACGGAGGCTGGGCGCGGTGGCTCACACCTGTAATCCCAGCACTTTGGGAGGCTGAGGTGAGAGAATTACTTGAGGTCAGAAGTTCAAGACCAGCCTGGGCAACACAGTGAGACCCCTGTCTTTACAAAAGAGTAGAAAAGTTCGCCAGGCATGGTGGTTCACCCTTGTCGTCCCGGCGACTTGGGTAACTGAGGCAGGAGGATCACTTGAGCCCTGGAGTTCGAGGCTGCAGTGAGCTATGACTGTACCACTGCACTCCATCCTGGGCAACAGAGTGAGACCCTGTTTCAAAACAAAGCAAAAGTAGCCACATGGAGTGGGAGACAGCGTCGAGCCTAAAATCTGAGGTGTAATATTGTTTTTTGTTTGTTTGCTTTTTGGGGTTTTTTTGAGACGGAGTCTTGCTCTGTCGCCCAGGCTGGAGTGCAGTGGCGCGATCTCGACTCACTGCAAGCTCTGCCTCCCGGGTTCACGCCATCCTCCTGCCTCAGCCTCCTGAGTAGCTGGAACTACAGGCGCCCACCACCACGCCCGGGTAATTTTTTGTATTTTTAGTAGAGACGGGGTTTCACCGTGTTAGCCACGATGGTCTCTATCTCCTGAACTCGTGATCTGCCCACCTCAGCCTCCCAAAGTGCTGGGATTCCAAGCATGAGCCACCGTGCCTGGCCGTATTTTTATTTTTAATGAAAGTATTCAAGGAATGATATCAGATAGTGGTGATAAGTTGCATATGTAGGTCGGGCATGGTAGCTCACGCCTGTAATCCCAGCCCTTTGGGAAGCCGAGGCGGGTGGATCACCTGAGGTCAGGAATTCGAGACCAGCCTGGCCTACATGGTGAAAACCCCATCTCTACTAAAAATACAGAAAATTAGCTGGACATGGTGGCACATGCCTGTAATTCCAGCAACTTGGGAGGCTGAGGCAGGAGAATTGCTTGAACCCGGGAGGCAGAGGTTGCAATGAACCCAGATTGTGCCATTACACTCTAGCCTGGGCGACAAAAAAAAGAAAAAGAAACAGGGTCTTGCTCTTTTGCCCAGGCTGGAGTGCAGTGGGTGATCACAGCTCACTGCAGCTTCGACTTTCTAGGCTCCATCAATCCTCCCACCTCAGCCTCCTGAGTAGCTGGGACTATGGGCCTGCTCCACGGAGTCTAATTTTTAAAAAATTTATTTTTGTAGGGCCGGGTGTGGTGGTTCACACCTGTAATCCCAGTACTTTGGGAGGCTGAGGCGGGTGGATCTCTTAGGTCAGGAGTTCGAGACCAGCCTGGCCCACATGGTGAAACCCCGTCCTATTAAAAATACAAAAAATTAGCCAGGTGTGGCAGTATGCACCTGTAGTCCCAACTACTTGGGAAGCTGAGGCAGGAGAATTGCTTGAACCTGGAGGCGGAGGCTCCAGTGAGCCTTGGATCCAGTGAGCCAAGATCACACCACTGCACTCCAGCCTGGGCAACAGAGTGAGACTCTATCTCAAAAAAAAAAAAAAATTGCACATGTAAAGGTACAGACTTGTCCTGAGTGTGGCTGAGAATAAACCAGGAAACTCAGAAACAAAAGCAAGCATCCTTAGGGGAAAACTCCCTCTTTGTTCTGGGTACTGCCAACCAACATTGTCGACTCTTTTAGTCATACGGGATCACGGCTGGCAATGATCTGCTGTTCTTGGGGGAAAAGGAACCATTTGGAAGACATTTGCCTGCTGGTACCTCAGGATGAGATGCCAAGTGTTTCAGTGACCAAAAGGCTGGCTTTATTGTGGATAGAGTGTGTTTTTATGAATGCCTATTAATAATAATTACACTGATTAATTTCTACTTGGAGCTGCAGGTAGTTTTGTTTGTTTTCCTTTTTGGTTTTGTTTTCACTTTGGTCTCCAAGTTTTGTTTTTGTTTGTTTGTTTTATGAGACGGAGTTTCACCCAGGCTGGAGTGCAATGACACGATCTCGGCTCACTGCAACCTCTGCCTCCTGGGTTCAAGCAATCCTCCTGCCTCAGCCTCCTGAGTAGCTGGGATTACAGGCGTGCACCACCACACCTGGCTAACTTTTGTATTTTTAGTATAGATGGAGTTTCACCATGTGGGCTAGGCTGGTCTCAAACTCTCGACCTCTTGACCTTGATTGGCCGAACTTGGCTTCCCAAAGTGCTGGGATTACAGGCATGAGCCACCATGCTTGGTCAGGTCTACCAAGATTTAGAGGGGGAGAGGGACCTTCAACTCCATGAAACTAAGAATATGGCTAAAGGAGACCATTTTTCAGGAGAGATGAACTAGCCACAGCGACATAGTATGAGGGTGGGGCCACCAAGAAGAAACCCAGCCCAAACACATGGTTCTCTCTCTTTTTTTTCTTTAAGACACGATCTCACTCTGTTGCCCAGGCTGGAGTGCAATGGTGCAATCACAGGTCACTGCAGCCTCAACCTCCCAGGCTCAAGTGATCCTCCCACCTCAGCCTCCCGATAGTTGGATCTACAGGCATGTGCCACTGCATCTAGCTAATTTTAAAATTTTTTGTTGAGACTGGGGTCTATGTTGCCCAGGCTGGTCTTGAACTCCTGGGCTCAGTGATCCTCCTGCCTCAATGTCCCAAAGCCCTAGGATTACAGACATGAGCCACTGACCCCAGCCTTTTTCCCTCTTTCTTTTACTTCATTCATTCTAGGGGGGAGTGGCAACCATGCTGTGAAGACACTCAAGCAATTCTGTGGAGAAGGCCATGGAATGAGGTGCTGAGACTTCCTGCCAACAACCAGTCTTCTAGGTAAGTAAGTTTGGAAGTAAAGCCTCCAGCCCTGGTTGAGCCTTCAGATGAGACAGCCCCAGCTGATAACTTGGCTGCAACCTCATGAGAGACCTGGAGCCAGAACCACCCAATTTCAAAGTAGCTCCTAAATTCTCAATCCACAGAAATTGTGAGATGATAAATGTTTGTCATTTCAAGTCAGTATGTTTTGGGATAATTTGTTATGCAGCAGCAACTAACTAATACATAGATATAGTATGTTAGGGACAAATGCAAGATACAGAACCATGGGTGTAATAGGCTATTATGTGTGTAAAATTTTGCATATATAAAAATTGTATTTTATGTATATATACATAATCTAGTTCTCAAAAGGACACACAAAAAACTGACAATGGTGGCTGCTTCCTTGGAGAGGAACTAGATGTCTGAGGCTCATGAATCAGAGGGAAATTTTTCACCAATTAACCTTTGTATCTTTTGGTGCCCTGTGAATTTTGTACCACATATATGTACGTGTATTACCTATTCAGAATGAATGGTTGAACAAAGGAGAATGAATGAATGGATCTTACCTTGATCAAGGATTTTGCAGCCTTCCGACAAGCCTCGTAGTACTGGTTGAAATTCAGAACTTCCCATTTTTTGCCATTCAGGGATGCAAGGGCTGGATAAATTCCAAATCGGTTGACTGACTCTCGAAAAAATTCAGGGATGGTCATCGGGGTCTCATGGCCCGGTCCATGTTTGGATAGCCTCAGAAGGACTTCTCCATCTCGACAGGTGGTCCACAGCCTGGGAGTAACTGCAAATAGTTACCAGAGTTGGTGGCAAATGTTTTAATTTATTTAACAACTTTGGATAGGGGGCGGTTGGTGTCTTTTTGGACCTAAGGTGCTGAGAGTTGAATTAATCCCCTTTTAGGGTGAAGTTATGTGGTCAACACTGGCAAGACAAGCTTCCTTTCTCTTTATTTATTTTTTCATTCCCCCCCAAAAAAAATTTTAATAAGTCGAAAGGATTGTATACCAAGCACTTTCTTACCCAACACCTAGATTCTACAACTGCTAGCATTTTAGTATGTATTATCACACATCTGTCCTGCTATTTTTGTTCTGTCCATTGTTTTTTGTTTTTTTGTTTGTTTTTTCTTTTCTTTTCTTTTCTTTTTTTTTCTGGAGACACAGTCTTACTCTGTCAGCAGGCTGGAGTGCGCTGGCACAATCACAGCTCACTGCAACCTCGACCTCCTAGGCTCAAACCATCCTCCCACCTCAGCCTTCCAAATAACTGGGACTACAGGTGAACACCACCATGCCTAGCTAATTTTATTTTTTAATGTTTTGTAGAGATGGGGTTCTACTGTGTTTCTGAGGCTGATCTCAAACTCCTGGGCTCAAACAATCCTCTCTCAGTTTCTCAAAGTGCTGGGATTACAGTCATGAGCCACCGCACCTGGCCCCATCTTATTTTTTTTATTATTATTTTGTTTTGTTTTTGTTTTTGAGATGAAGTTTTGCTGTTCTTGGCCAGGCTCGGCTCACTGCAACCTCTGCCTCCTGGGTTCAAACAATTCTGCTTCAGCCTCCCAAGTAGCTGGGATTAGAGGCATGCACCACCACGCCTAGCTACTTTTGTATTTTTAGTAGAGACAGAGTTTCTCCATGTTGGTCAGGCTGGTCCCGAACTCCCGACTTCAGGCAATCCGCCCGCCTTGGCCTCCCGAAGTGCTGGGATTACAAGCGTGAACCACCATGCCTGGCCTATTATTATTATTTTTTGAGACGGAGTCTCACTCTGTTGCCCAGGCTGGAATGCAGTAGTGCGATCTTGGCTCGCTGCAACCTCACTACCCACACCTTCATCTCAGAAATCTGGCCTCTAGAATTGTGAGACAATACGTTTCTGTTGTTTCAGACACTCAGTTTGGGGCACTTTGTTAAAAAAAATTAGCCAGGCATGGTGGTGCATGCCTGTAATGCCAGCTACTTGGGTGGCCAAGGCACGAGAATCACTTGAGCTTGGGAGGCAGAGGTTGCAGTGAGTTGAGACTCACTACTTTCCAGGCATGTGCCACCACACCTGGCTAATTTTTGTAGTTTTAAGAGGCAGGTTTTGTCATGTTGTCCAGGCTGGTCTCGAATTTCTGGCCTCAAGCAATCTGCCCACCTCAGCTTCTCAGAGTGCTGAGATTACAGTTGTGAACCACTGTGCTCAGCCAATTTTCTAGGGATTTAGATGAATATTCCACCCCTTGGACCCATAAAGGTCCCCAAACTCCATTTGTGCATGACGCTATCTTTCGAGTACTCCTGCACTCCCTCTCCTTGAATGTGCATTTTGCAATGCAAGTACTTTTATTTGCCATAAACCTCAGTACTTTCAGTTTTTTTTGTTTTTTTTTTAAACGTAGTCTCACTCTGTGGCCCAGGCTGGAGTGCAGTGATGCGATCTTGGCTCACTGCAAGCTCCGCCTCCTGGGTTCACGCCATTCTCCTGTCTCAGCCTCCCAAGTAGCTGGGACTACAGGCACCCACCACCATACTCTGCTAATTTTTTGTATTTTTTAGTAGAGACGGGGTTTCACCGTGTTACCCAGGATGGCCTCGAACTCCTGACCTTGTGATCCGCTCACCTCGGCCTCCCCAAGTGCTGGGATTACAGGCGTGAGCCACCATGCCTGGCCCACTTTCACTATTTTCTGACTTGTTTCTTGAATTCACTCTCGATGGTGTCAAGAGCTTGGACAATGGCTGGGTTCGAGGTCCCACCGGCATTTGAGGACCTCCCCCAGCCCACTGGTATCACAGCTGTCTATAATGTCACCATGTCCCTTGACTTTAGCTCTGGCAGTAAAATGATTACAGCCTAATGTTTTTTTTTTTTTTTTTTTGA